TGTATATAATAATAACGAACTTACTTATTCAAAAACATTCCCTGTGAATAGGGGCTAAGAATACTTCCACGACCCCTCTGCCAGTCATAAAAGGCGACTAATGAAGTAGCGTCAGGTCGACAGCCGGCGTAAATAGGTACTTGGAATGTTGGAACATTAACTGGTAGAAGTAGAGAATTCGTAGAAGTACTGAAGAGGAGAAAGTTAACATTTATTGTGTGCAGGAAACTAAGTGGAAAGGAGAGAAATCAAGGGAAATAGGCGAGGGTTATAAAATAATATACTCAGGGAAGTATAGTACAAAGAATGGTGTAGGGATAATAATGGATGAGGAAATGAAAAGTAAAGTAGTAGAAGTAGCTAGGAAAAGTGACAGGATTATAGTCGTGAAATTGATATTCGAGGAAAAAGTGCTGAATGGTGAAAAGTGCCTATGCACCACAAGTAGGATGTGATGAAATAGACAAGGAAGTGTTTTGGAATGAAGCCAGTATGCAGTAATTAAGGCGAAGTTAAAGAGGTATGATTTAAACAAACTGACGTACTTTATTTTAATAAAATAACTTTTACAAAAATAAATATGAAAAACTGAAGAAAGATAATTAAAAAAAAAATATGCGCTTTTATTCATCCACTTGGTTTTTGCGAAAAAATGGTGATTGGAATTGCAAATTATCCTCATGCGAAGCGTTGCCCGATAGGTAGTGCTGATCCCCTCTGATAAACTACTAGATCGTTGGTCAACCGTCCTGGACTACCTAATTCTATGTTCGCCGACACAAATGTTAGTACTTCACTTAAAAACTATTCCATTAGCATTATAAATTGTTCACAACAAATTATTCAAATAGGGTTAGAAATAAATATTAGGCGAACAATGACTGAATCTTAACCATAGTATTTAGTATTTATTTAAATATCGATAATATTTTAATCCATTAATATTAAATGTTAATTTAATATTAATGTTAAAATATTAATTAATAAAATATTAAATAATCAAATAAATATTAATATTAAAATTAATATTAATAATAAATGTTTTTTTACTAATATTCGTTAAATATTTTTTTTTTAGAATTATATTCAAAAAGTTATAAAACAATTACAAACTAAACATAAAGTAAAATTATTTTATTTTTATATAGAAAGTATTTTATAAGTTTAAAAAGTTCTTAATTATATCCATTGTAAAAACTATAGATGAATAAAAAAATTATTTCATTTGATAGAATAATAAATAAAAATATACATATAATTTCAATTACATGATATAACGCTCAGTTCATTTATATTAGGTATAAGTTGGATTTTAGTTTGAAAACTCAATCAATCAATAATTGATCATTCTGTATAAAATCAACTATTAGAATTTCATAATTTAATAGATTATTGAATAAAGATATTAGATTAACTTTTATTTTAACTCTTTTAAACCTATATTTTATTCTTAATTCAAATGAATCAAAATTAATGTTTTATTGATAGCTGTCCCAGAATGGTGACCGGAAAAACTTCAAGAGAAAATATTATCAAATATTAAAAAACGTACATATGTCCCACTGTGATTTATTAATAGGACTATATAAACAAATATTTAAATTATTAAATCATAGTGCGATACTCTGTATAAAAAAATATTAGATTTTCAAAAGGTAAAAAAACCCAGCACAGGGGATTGCGGCACAGTGGTGACGTGGTATAGATGGATCAAGTATAACAAGATTGTAATGATCCATACATTTTTCAAAAAGTTATAGCATAATAAAGTTAAAAATGTAAAAAATAAAATTGAGAATTTTCACACAATAATAGCATTTGGTAGCCATTTTCATCGTGAAGACAAAATAAAGTTCGAAATTTGTTTTTTACATAATAAAGTAGATTACATTAGCTTTAATTTAATATATATAAAAAAGTGTCAGACTTTCCGAAACACTTTCAAAATTTAAGCTGAAGAAGTAAATTTTTTGTGAAAAAGTTGTCATTTTGAATTCCCCCCTATATATAAAAAAATATTGGTGATGGAAAACATTTAGTTGCTGATTTGAAATTAGGACGAAAAATTGAATAATATAAGTATATTTTTTACTCAGATGAACATTTTTTGCAGGCCATTTATTCATAATTAAGAACAAATTATTATCTAAATGTTCTGTGTCAAGCCCTTCAATTTTTATACACGTTTGTCATAAGTGTAATAACTACTTTATAATTTTTTACAAATTCTCCGAAATAATCACAATACTAAATATCAATTTCATAATACGTTGAATTGCTTTGATAGATATTTATTCATAAATTATACTTATAAATCAACTACTAATTAGGAATAATGATTGAAATAGGAGTTAATTTTTCTTTTAGAATAATCATCCAATTTCTTAAAATTAAAGACTATCTACAGATTTGCATCGAAGCGTTTTTTATGATAGTGATTTTACTGTCAAATATCATCTATACTGGACCTAATTATATTACGTTCACACTGTGCTGGGTTTTATCTAACTTCAATAATTTAAAAATATACAGTTACTAAATGGTATATCGAGGGTCTAAAAGATTTATATAAATAAGACTCTATTAAAATAAGTATATATCATATCGAATCAGTCAATTATTGCCTAATTAAATATAAAGTTACTTGCGCAAAAAACAACCATAAGACGTATCGTTATAACCATTTTTAGTATAGTTATAGTCATAATTAATGAATTTTTTTTTATAATAAAAATAAATAAATAAATTTTATCTTAATATTTTTACAAGCTCAAATTTACTAACAGTATTATATTGGATAAATTTTATTTCTGATGTTTTTACTAATTTCTATGTGTACAAAGGGCCTTTAAAATAGCAAGTTTTTGTAATTGTCAACAAATTTTAGTAACATAAACTTTACTTAAATTTGATACATTACAAATATCTTAATCAACTATAAATAATTTTTTACAAATGTTAGTATTAGTATTTATATTATGCTTAATATTAGTAATCAAGCGTGTAGTATAGGAGTATAAACTTTCCAATTAAAATCGTATAAATATGTTTAAGATACATAATAGAGGCGAGAGTAAATAATAGTTCATGTTTAACCCTCATGACAAATTATCAATATTTTACAATCAAGAAATTACCAAACAAATATGTGGATTCTTATACAACAACTTGTATATGCAATCTGTGAGTTGATAACTCATAGGTTTTAATCGAAATTTTTTTTCAAAGAATGAATTTGAATTTTTGCCAGTCAACAATAATTGGCAAATTAAAAAATGCGAGGAATTGAAATTTAAATTTCAAGAATGTGTTAATCAAAAGCCTCACAAGTCCCGAAATGTTCCAATAAATCCAGTGGAGATACCAGGTGACGGAAATTGTTTCTTCAGCGCTCTTTCTTATTGGATAAGTGGTTCAATCGAATATGGTTCAAAATTGCGATTTTTGATAGTCGACGTAAATAAATTTTTAATTTTTAAATAAAAGTAAATTATTGTGTTTAATTATTTTATTTTTAAAAGTTTATGACACATTCCGATTCATTTAAACTAATGACAAAGGACGACGAACGAAATGCCCGAATTTTAAAAATGTACAATACATGTAAGAATTAACAATTTATTTTTTTGAGAGTTGTTCTTTATTGTAAATCACTGATCAATTGGAATTAGATAAATAAATCATCTATGGTTAAGTTTGAGTTACTCAATCTAGGATATCAATTACTCAGATTTAATGATTTTTTGACTTTATACACGTTTGAACAAAATAAAGTAATACGTGTTTTTATTGACACTGGGCACTAATTGGGTTGTATAGACTGTCGGTCATCGAAAGTGTACCCGAAATTATGTGAACAATAAAGGCACGGTACGGTATTATCTCCTGCGACTCATGACGTCGTAGAGGTAAACCTTATCACTAGACCAATTATAACTCATATACCCATGCACAAACCGTATATAGGTTATAACTTGGCTTGCGACTGACATATTTGAAAAATTTCACTTTCCAATAAATTTCAATTTCTATAAAACTATGGTTTAAAATTTAAATATATTTTACTTGATCAAAAATATTACTAAGGTATCAAAAATGTGTTATATACAATGTGTATCTTATGCATTACAATGTTTACTACTTGCATTTGAAAATTTGCACTATTTTTTTATAGTTATATTATAGTTTAATTTACAAATAATGTATTTTTGAGTAATAAATGTTTGTATTAGCACATTTTTATCCTAAAAATATTTTAATTACCGTTAAAATTAATAACATTATTTTAAAAATTTTACATTTTTCCAGTTATTGTAATTTATTTCTTAAATGTACTTAGCTGAGTTCGCAGAATCTCCTGAAATAGCTGCAGCAGCTGAATTTTTAAACACATCAATATATATTTACACTTTATATCCTGTGGATGGATGGCACTTCATTAGCAAAAATTTAGTGACAAACGAAGACGAAAATGAAGAATGCATATACTTGATTAATTATAATGAACATTATAATGTTGTTATAGAAGTGGTAAGAAAATTTATCATTAGTATAATTTGTAAGACTTATTGAATAACAATGTAAAATTACGTAGAGTTAAGTAAGAACTTATCAATGACTTTACCGCGGGGGGTTAAAATTATTTTATCAACCAAATAAAATGTGTTTTTTAAATGACATGACTACAACACAGATTTATATACACAAGGATCGGTTTATCATTAACCACTCAATTACTCTCAAAATAATTTTTCTTTTCTGTTAGTTTCATATAATTCTTGATATATCAGCGAATAATTACTTTTTAGAATCATTCCTTATAACGTATAGGGGTATTAAGTTTATTTTTTTTAATTGCTGCATACATATTNGTAATGTCTTCGACTAGATACGATTTGTGATCTTTTGACGTATCATTGAAAGAAATCGGTTCGGTGAGAGCTGAGAAAAAGTGGTAACAGACAAAAATAAATAAATAAAATCACATCATAGTAAAATTAATACCTTCTCAACTTCTCATCGAAGCTACAATTAAGTCTACACACCTTTAAATAATAAGAGATGATTACTTAAAAAGTAATTATTTGCTAAATAATCAAGAATAAAAAATATATCAACATTTTGTACTATATTTATTTACATTTTTATTGTAATATTATATAGTATTCGAATGTCTTATTATAAATCAGCTACAGATAAAAATAATAGCTGCGAACCAGATTTAAGCTAATTAATTATGTATGTTGCCACTTAAAAAAATTAAGTTGACACCCTTATACGTTTTAAGGGATGATCTTAAAAGTAATTAACAGCTAATAAATCAAGAAATTTAAGTAACTAAAAAAAACCAAAAATATTTTTTCAATATTGTATTTATTTTGAGAGTAATCGAGTGGTGTATTGTAAACCGATCACCTCATATAACTTACATAATTATAACGAGATTTGATAATTCAAAGTGATAAATTCGTCTAGAATAATTATGCAAAAGCGAGATGTACACGGTTTTAGATAGTTCATCATAAATACATGAATATGATTTTTTCGTTACTATGCCTTACAAAAAATCTCACAAGGAAATGCCGAATATAATTTTTTATTTATTTTACGTTAAAACATATAGTGTGTCCCGTCGTGATTTACTAATTTTAATATTAATTTAAATAGTCAGATTAGTAAAACAGTCTTTATTATAAGTCTATCATATAATTCAGTTAAACGTTAGAAGGGTTCAAAAAATCATTCACTACTATAAGTAGTTTTATATATGGTCAAATGATTACTTTTTTTTAATTCAATGCTTAAAATAATTTATTTTCGTTTTAATATGAATTGTTTTACATTATAAGTAGCCTTATTCTTAACTTTATTTAAGTTTATTGATAACATATTTTAATTACGTTTTAACAAAAATTTTCGTTTTAATCATTATAATTATGCTGTTATTCAAAATCATTTCTTGTCCTATTTAATAGTAATAGAGCTAATTATTATTTTATTTTTTTAGCAACAATGGATTTATGTTGAACAACTTTACACAAAAAATTAATATTCCTGAAATTAATTTTTTAAAGTAAACTTGTATCAATTTCGTTTCTTAAAAGCAATCCTACTTTTTAATTATTTCATCAGATTTATTCAATTGAAAAAAAATGTTAGTTTCAAAATTGTATTTATATTATTTGATTTTTAACAAGACACAATTGTTTAAATTCTATCAGACAAAAAGTGTACTTATTTTTAAGACATAAGTTGATAAACATTAAAGTTGATTACATTATGATAATGTATGGTTTATTCGTATTTCAGCTCAATAAAAAACCATTATTGTTAAAAAATAAAACAACGGTTAACTATTATTTTCAAAGATATCTCCTAAAACATAATTAAGGAATCTCTATATTGTTATTGAAGCCTCAATTACTAATGTCATTTGCTTGTAATATTTATTGTGCATTATAACACGGATTGTAATGTTTAAAATATGTGGATCTTCAAAGTGTAACTGTACATAAAAAAATGTATGTTTAAAAAGTTATATTACTTGTCGCTCAACACGTTATAAGTAATTTGAGTTTAACTCTAATTATTCAACTTTTTATCGAATATCATTATTAGCAACACCTTAATTGTGTAAATTTTAATGTAGAATACAACTATTTAAATATAAAATTCTAAGTTTAAATCTTAAGTCAATTTCTTTTGTTCCAATGCATTATATTGTTGCAAAAATAATAAATTGTTATCATTTAATTTATTGATATCAATCAGCAATGTTATTTATGAAAATCGATGTCTATTGTTAGCTTATATTATGAATTATCTGCGACCGAGAGAATTTTATCACTATATTATTGTTTATAGACTTTAAATAATAATATAAATTCTTGATTTATTTTTACTATTTTTTTACTAACGAGTAAATAGTTATAATGCAATTTTGGCTGACATATTGTTTTTTAAATTTCTTAAATTTGAATTTAAGGTAACAATTTTATCATTTTATATGGTTCTCAGTTCTTAATCTATATTAATTTAATCCATCCCATAATATTCCATATATTCTAGAATTACTTACTCAATATAATTTATTAAATAAAACTATACTTTATCAAATAATCAAGAGTTATTGAATCATTTTTAGTATTTTATTACATCTGTTGGTTTATTAAAATATATGTTTTTGTTAATATCCCATTATAATTTAAAGTTCAGACGAATATTGTTTGTGCAGTTGGAAAAATTGTTCGCGTAATTTAAAAAAAACTTAAGGCATCTGAAAATTATTAAAATTAAAAATAAAAACAAGCTACAAAAATAATTTTTGAAAATATTAGTATTTTGATTGAATTTTTTTCTATTATATTTTTATAACATAGGTATATAAAAATATAGTAACTCTATCATTTTTAATTATTATACTTCATTGGTCAGACAGATGGACGAAATAGACAATTTTAGCTTTTATGTGAAGCTAATAAATAATAATTTTACTATGATACATTTTTTTCGTTAATTTTTATCAGCTTTCGTCGGAATAATATCTATTAATGATACATCGAAAGATCACAAATCGTAATACTAAAATATAATACACATAAATATTAAAATAATGGAAAAAATACAGTTCTCTTTTTTTTCTCGCCTTATTTTTTTTTTTTTTTTTTTGTTACTTTACCCATTTAATGTATTATATACATACTATATATCCTTATTTAAAATAAAAACATTCAAAACTGAGATCTCGTGATGAAAAAAATAAAAAATATCTTAAACACTACAAAATATTGCCATCGTGAATGTGCTCCCTTAAATACTAGATATAGGAAATAAATATTTTTTAAATCAAATATATTTCTGTTAGTACATTAATGACCAATACAAATGATTATCAAAATTTACTTTACTTTACAGGATCCAGAAAATAAAAGTCGTAGTCCTGAAGATATAAAAGTGAATATATGATAAATAATATTTTAATATAATTATATAGTGAATAGATTAAAACAAATTGGCCAGTTTAAATCAGTCTCCAAAATATTCTTATTGATTTAATATGATTTTTTAAGTAGAATTTTTATCACAATCTAATTATTAACATATAACATAGACTAAAGACTACTCAACACATTCTAAAATTTGATTATTCAAAAAACATTTATTTAAAAAAAGTGTAAATTTCAAAACTATAATTAGAAAATACATCTACTGTTTGCTAATTATATCATAAATAGAGGGTCAGAATGTATTTAGGTTATCGGACGTATTTGAATTATTCCACAAAATTAAGTTAATCAGTTAGAAAGTGTACATTGTATTTTTAACACGCTTATATTAGTTTCATCTGTATGTATGTATGTTTGTAACTCTCCACACGCCTAGTGTTATTATTCTTGCGTATCCCGTCGCTTTGAAACTAGGCTGTCTTAACGCATTCACCCCACCCCGTCACACACGCCAACAACACTATTCTTGTATAATTTTATTTTTGGTTTTTGTACCCATACACGCGTGGCTATAATCAATATTATATATATATAAAAAAAATTTTATTGTTTATTATGAGATATAAACATTTAAAGGTTCAAATTATTTTGAGTTAATATACATGTATAAAACATAAGGGATTACAAATACAAGTAGCTAATTGGTTTTTTATGACGATATTCGCAAGTAAATAGCCTTTATTATCAAAAGTAGTAAGACATAGTTGTGAGTTTATAAATACGCTAACTGCCAATACAGAAATTATATTTATTGATAGTCATAATTGACAATAAACATTCCGAGGCTGTGACAGCGATATCATAAAAACTAAAAAATAAATATAGTTTAAGAAACTAAAAAACACGCTATTAAAGCATGAATTTTGGTTTATTATTGTTTTATGCTTATTTTAAAAATTATTTTTAACTTTTTAGTTCTAAGAGCTTTGAAAGCATGTTATTTAACTATTTTTTTATTATTAATAGCTACATCACTTCTTCATCATAATAATAACATATATTTAAATTAACATTTATATTTTTGTACAATGCTTTATTAAAAATTGATAATTAATGACCCTAAAATAAATTAAAAAAATAATTATCAGAGAAATTTATAATTCAACTTTAAAATTTTTTTAACTTTTTAACTATAAAATTAATTTATAATTAGTTATTTATATCATTTAGCATGTTTTAGGGTAAGAAGCATTATATTAATATCAAAAATACGGTTCAAAATTAAAAAAAAAAAAAGTAAAAACGTTGGTTTCACGATTGTGTATTAAGGGCTTGAATGTGTTAAATATCTTTCATTACAACAAAGATAATACTTTTTATACTAGAAAGTTGTATTCAATAAATTTTTATATCAAACAAATATTGAGTAAATAAATATAAACTTAATTGTACAGGAGATAAATTTAATACTTATCATTATAACCTTATTTATTATAATTAATATAATAATACTAATACTCATTAAATATTTGTTCAGGAATTCATTAAAAATATAAGAACAAAAAAAAAATCCAAAAAGGTAAATCTATAATTTTTTTTTTTTATAGAATGTTTTTTGTATTAGAAATAGTTTTAAAAATAAATTTATTGTATGAACTTTAATTAAATAAAAAAATTATTTAGCCCTGCAATACATATTTCCATAATTTTTAGATGAACAGCCTATTATAACATTTTTATTAATTTCTTTTAGTTCAATGTTTTTCTCAATTTATCAATCATAAAAAAATTTTTATGTTTATTTCTTATACTTTATAATTTTAATTTTTCACGTGGAAAAATATATAGGATTTTCAGTAAATAAGGATACGATTTTCTATTGTTTTCATTGTTTATAACAATTCACATATATCCTTATTAACTCTACAACCTGCATAATTAACAAGCTTGTTTAATAGATAATGATCTAAGAAATTGACTATTCGATAGCAATTTTTAGAACAGTATTTTGGAAATTCTTAACAAATTAAAATGATGATTAGCGGTGAGACATAAATTTTATTATTTTTATTTCTAATTATTTCTCAACCATATTCTTTTTCACACNTCTATATACATTTTATGAAAATCGGTGGGTACCACACCGTGACCTCCCCTTGTTAGATATAAATACGTCAATAACTTTCGAAACACTGGTTTAAAAGTTGCTATCGGCCAGTCATTTTCTTAACTAGATAATTATCTATAGTAAAATCTAGTTAATTAGGTGTGTTTCTATTTGAAAAATTTAAGTTGACACCCTTAGAAAGTATAAAAATGAACATCAAAAATATTCTTATTTTTCGATTAATATAGTGGTTAATGATAAGTTAATCATTCTGTATATAAAATTAATGACATCGATTTATATTTTAAATGTAAAACACGTATCAGGTGTGTCAAAACATTTTCCACTTAATTTTTTTTACAAATTCCAATTGTAACTATATTATGTTCTATACCTTTATGTAGAGTTATTTTAAACTTCATTATGTTGAAAATACCTCTATATATTTGTGAGCATTGTAAATAATGATTGTAACGGTTGTAATCATACATTCAATCAGGAAGAGAGAGAGTGTAAAAGTATGGGAAGAGTGTATAGTATACACTGTATACAGAAACAGAAAGAACACAGGATAAGAATAAAGGATCAGGTGGTGAAATTACAGATTAGAGAATATAGGATAAGGAACGAACATATAAGAGGGAGTATAGGTGTAGTGTCAATCGTAGATAAAATGAGAGAAAATACTTAGATGGCTTGGTTTAGTCATGTAATGAGAAGAGAGGAATCAGAAGCTGTAAGAACAGTTATGGAAATTTATGTTGAAGGAAGAAGAGATAGAGGAAGATCAAAAAAGAGATGGAGGTATGTAATTGAAAGCAATATGAGGATGGCTGATGTGAGCGTAGATGATGGAGGAGATCGTGTCAAGCGGAAATTTGGGATAAGGGTGGCTGACCCCAATTAGTTGGGAAAAAAACAAGAAAAACTGTATTTTTTAATAATTGCATTATTCAGTTTATTAATAATTATTATTATTACTAGTTTACAAATAAAAAAAAATTTTCTGACCCATGACTTATGATAGTAATTTATTATGTAAAATTGTCCACAGAGTCCAAAAATGAAGTCCAAAATACAAAAAGTAGAACAGTTTTTGAGTTATTGCGAAATTAGCGTTTTTCGTGTGCTGCGAAAAAGTATTTTCATTATATTCTAAATATCGTTAATTGCATTCAACCGATTTTAAATAAAAATATCCCAATAAACCTATATGAAATAACCTTAAGTTATTTAAAAAATCGAAATTTTGTTTTGAAAAGTAATATTGTGAGTAATTTTTCAATATTTTTTTCTATATATTACAAAATTAAAGCATCGAAATAAAAAACTCTGATATTAAGAAATTTGTTTTATTTTTCAATAGCGCATAACTTCTTCATTTTTTTATCAATATAACAAAATAATATATTATTTTCTTTGTTATGTATCAGTGTATAATGTCTATTGAATATAATATATTATATTATACCATATTATGGTTGATCAATTTATTTTTTATTGGTGTATTTTACGTAAAACTCTGAATTTTTCCTGGCATTTTGAAAAAAATGATAAAAATTCAGAGGTAAACTCGTAGATAGCAAACGAGAAAAAAATCAGGTAAAATATTGTTTAAGATAAAAGTTATAGGTAATTTTATGTTGTTTAATTTTATGTAAAAAAAAATGAAAATCAGTTTAATGCAATTAACGATATTTAGAATATAATGAAAACACTTTTTCGCAGCACACGAAAAACGCTAATTTCGCAATAACTCAAAAACTGTTCTACTTTTTGTATTTTGGACTTCATTTTCGACTCAGTGGATGATTTTACATAAAAAATTACTATCATAAGTCATAGGTCAATTTTGTTTTAAACTAGTGTAATTAAATATTATTATCATTGTTATTTTTTATATCGGGTTTTTGATTCTAATTAGGAAAAGAGCTTAAATTGACTTGTTTACATATAAAAGACATGTAATCGGGACAATTTTTTTTACTTTATTGTAGGAAATTTAGACTTGCCCTGAAATAATGCCTCACGGTAGTTCCAGGGCAGCCCACAATAATGCCGGTCGGGGGAAAAAAAAGGCAATTTAGACTTTTATTTAACATATGTTTAAAACTCAGAGAATTTCTGGAACATTATCCAAAAATTAACACCTTTAATCAATGTTAAGTACTGTATACAGTCCTCTCTACTTGCTACTTACATTCTTATATATCTTTTATCCTCACCTCAAATTATACACAATAATATTGTTCCTACATATTTTCTATCAAACTCGATTTGTAACTCAACAAGCGATAGATTATACATTGATTTTATAATAATATTGTTATCATAATATTGAACTTTTTGGTCAATCTAAAACAAACAAAGTCATTTATAATTATTCTGTTTCACTTTATTTTCTGGTTCCTACCTCTTTGTTTCCATTTGTTGTCTCAACAATTTTACCCGTAATTGTAAATAACGGGTATAACATTGAATCATCATTCGTGCTGCTGTAATTGATTTTTTATAATCAGTTTTTGTCTCTCGTAGTTTTTCTAGAAAAATACATAAAAACAGTTTGTGTCACTCTTTGTGTCGTTAGATGACAAGGAAAACATGTTTAACTGTTATACCAATAGTTGGATATGCATAGGTATTACGGCGTCTTTATTTACAATGGACGATTCTATTTATTTATAAATTAAATTGACACAAACATAAGAGAAAGTTGGTGATGATTGTTTAAAGAGCGATACCTTGCTTGATAATAAAAACCTCCCATTTCTCATTGGAAACATTGTTTGGAAACAAATTGTTTTGAGCGCTATGTTTTTGGTGTAGTTGGTGCTATTTCAACACGAGTCATGTAATCTATAAGTTCTCAATAACTGCAAATTGTACTATCACCAATTTTTCATTTATTTTCTTGAATATCGTTGCATGAGAATTTAACTTCCCTATTAATAAAGATTAACATAAACCACAACTGTCCTTCCTTAAATATAAGATATAGAAAATTACTTTTCTTAAAATCATATAATTAATTTTATAATTCATTAATAGATAATAAAAATAATCATCGAAATTTATTTTGCTTTTCAGCGACCACCTAGAGAAGCTCGTAATCACAATGAATTAGAAGTGAATATATGATAAATAATAATTATTTTAATAAAATTGAATAGAATATTTATTAAAACAAATTAGTAAATATATCAATCACTTGCAAATAATTTAAAAAATAGTAGGTCAGAATTTTTTTAGGTTATTATACGTAATAGTATAATATTTGTAATGTCAAATATGTATTACATATTTGAATCACTTTATAATATTTATTCAATCAGATATGTAGTGTACAATAGAGAAGCACTTAACTATGAACAAAGAATTTTTTTGGATACATTTTAACCGTCTTATCGTATTCCCCAAATTTTTTGAAATATAAGAAAAAATAAGTCCTATAAAATTAGGTCAAATTCATCAACCACAAGAGAATTGGAAAATGGACCTCCAGGGTAGATTTTTAGTGATTTTGTTTATCTAAAAAGTATGACTTTTATTATTTTAAATTTAGTTCTAAATTTATTAGTTTTTCTTAAAAAGTAAAAAATATCAATTTTTTTATTTATTCGAAAACGATGTAGTATTACATAAATACTATTTATCTATCAATTTATCATGTTTCATACAAAAGTTCTAAAAAACAAATTATATATTCTATAAAAATGTTTGTACCTTTATATTATTTTATAGAATATTGACTTGAATTAAGAGTAAAGTTACTTTATTATATGATGAAAGAAGAAATTTGTATTACGATATTTTATATTTTATGAGTATTATAATTATATATAATTTATCGAAATCGGATTATTACTTATTGAGATGATCGTAAAAGTAATCATACACAATGATCATTATTATGTGTTTTTTGCAATTATTACAATATTCGCGTTAATCATTAACAACTTGTAAGAATTTCTTTTGGTTTTCATATTTGATTATTATGCTATCATGCTCTTGTATTAATTTAACTCCCCTTTGGGCAACAACATTCACAATAAATAACTGTGGTAATATATTTTTACCTTTAATATATTCAATATTTCACTCCATTTGTCAATATGATGTTCTAAAAATCACACGAAATGTTGAATCTGGTATTAAGTTTAGCAATTCTATGTTTACTTAATCATTAAATAATTTTTTGTAAAAGTGCTTATATCTTTTTGGGTGTACTGTAATTTTTTCGTAAAGTTATTAAGTTATTACTATTAGTTAATAATTTTATTAAGTAAAAATTGTGGTTACACGACATTGTATTAAGTTCTGGAAGTGATAAATAAATAAAATCCTTTATGAAATCAAGGACAATATTTTTTAATTGGAAAATTTATTTATTTGATGGGAATTACTGATTCAATTAATTGTTGAGTAAACAAATATAAACTTACTTATATAACAAATTTTAGAATCATGTTGCTTAAACTTGATATTGAACCAATATTTGATTTTTATACACGTTGATCATATCTTTGTGTAGCTCAGGTAATGCGTCTGAAGTCTAAAACAAATACTAGTACGTATTAAGAGTCCACGCTGATGAAGTAAAACTTCTTTCAGAGTCATTTCATTGTTAGAATATTAGGATTGTATTGGCACGGCACCGCCTTACGCTCTAGGCTGACGCACAACCGTGTCTCTCTCGATATCAGCCGTCCAGCTATTTAAATGACAATCAGTTGTCATCGGGTGTCTCCCCGCCCTTGACACCGTGACAAGGCCACCACCGAATATGGATTACGGAGAATGCGTTCTGTTCCGTTTCCGACATACACCTGAAATGATTGCTCCGTTCTGTTTCTGTGGTTTTTCTGTTTCTTTTAGTTTCGATGCGAAGCTCAGAAGGTATTAATTTTACTTTGATGTGTTTTTTATTTATTTATTTATTTTTGTCTGTTACCACTTTTTCTCAGCTCTCACTGAACCGAATTTTTCAACGATACGTCAAATATCATAAAGCGTATCTAGTCAATGACATTATCCTCAAAAATTGAAAAAAATTCCCTCGTTCCCCGGAAATGTCAATCTCCAAAAAATTTACAAATTTAAACATCACTAATTTTCGAAATTTTTTCAATTTTTTTTACTTAAAACTACCATAACTTTTTCAAATTTGAACAAATGAATATAATTTTTTTTTAAATAGATGCTTAAAGTCCTTACTTATCATTTGATATATTTTTTTATAAATTTGACCCTTTACCTGCCCACAGGGGGAATTCAACCCTTTTTCAACTTCACTTTTTAAAGTGTTCCGGAAATACTGACACTTTTATATATACCTTAAATTAAAACTTATGTAATATATTTTATAATGAAAAAAAAAATTGACCTCTGGACTTGTCTTCATGGTGAAAATGGCTACCAATAACTATTTTTGTGTGAAAATTCTCGATCTTATATTTTACATTTTTAACTTTAAAATGCTATAATTGTTTGAAAAATAAATGGATCAATACAATTTTTTTATGAGAAATAATATTTATATCCCTTTTNGATCAATATAATTTTTTTATGGGAAATACTATTTTCTAATAATCTCTTTTTTATTCGACATACTTTGTCTTAATCAGGATATTAATAAGGAACTAGCAGTTTATGTAGCTTTTGGAATAATCCACCAATTTTTTAAAATTAAACACTATCTAAAGATTTGCATCGAAGCGTTTTTTTTTTATAGTGATTTTAATCACTGTCAGTTGTCATTATACTTGATCCAACTATGCCACGTCTTCACTGTGCCACGACCCCCCTGTGCTGGGTTTTTTATTTTTGGACCCTCTGTAAAGAAGTTTCACTTTAATAAAACATTCCGCAATCAACAATAAAAAAAACCAGCATAGGGGGGTCGCTGCACAGTGGTGATGTGGCATCAAGTATAATGATAAGTGACAGTGATTAAAATCACTATAAAAAAAAACGCTTCGATGCAAATCTTTAAACAGTGTTTAATTTTAAAAAAATTGTGGATTATTCCAAAAGCTACATGATCTGCTATTTTCTTATTAATATCCTGAATGAAAAAAGGATTATTAAAAAATATTATTTTTCATAAAAATGTTGTGTTGATCCATACACTTTTCAATAAGTTATAGCATTATAAAGTTAAAAATGTAAAAAATAAAACCGAGAATTTTCACACAAAAATAGGTAGCCATTTTCATCATGAAGACAAGTCCAGAGGTCAATTTTTTTTTTTTCTAATAGAGTACATTACATTAGCTTTAATTTAAGTTATATATAAAAGTGTCAGACTTTCCGGAACACTTTCAAAAGTTAAATGTATAAGTAATTTTTTTGTGAAAAAGTTACCATTTTGAAACCTATTCTATGGGCTCGTAAAGGGTCAAATGTTTACAAAAATATATGAAATGATAGGTGAATATAAGGTATCTATAAAACAAAATTATATTGATATGTTCATTTTTAAAAAAGTTATGGCAATTTTAAGTAAAAAAAATTAAAAAAATTTCGAAAATTAGCGATTTTTAAATTTGTAATTTTTTTGGAGATTTCCCCCATTTACGGGGAACGAGGGAAATTTTTTTTCAATTTTTGAGGGTAATGTCTTCGACTAGATACAATTTGTGATCTTTTGACGTATCGTTGAAAGAAATCCGTTCGGTGAGAGATGAGAAAAAGTAGTAACAGAAACAAAAAAAAAATAACACAACATAGTAAAACCAATACCTTCTCAGCTTCGCATCGAAGCTAAAAATTATTGAAGTACATAGAATTAAAATTTTCTATAATTTAAAATATATGATGTAATTCTTTTATGATAATTATTGTGTGACTACTAAAAACGTATGACTTGTAATAAAAAATACAAAGGTAATTTAAATATAATTTTTTAATATTTTAGACTTAGAAATATTTTATTTGAGTACGGTTTATTCATAATTATATACTTGATATTATTCTCCTTGCAATTTTTTTTTTTTTGTAAATATAGATTGCAAATAAATATTGTAATAATATTATATTAATAAAATATTTTTTTAGGAATACATTAAAAAATTTGAGACTAAAATAGATGATGAAATAAAACAAGTAATTATATTATATATATATATAGAATAGTTTTATACATAATAAAGAGCTATTTTTAAAATTCATTGTAAGAACTTAAGATAAATGAACAATTTATTTCGCATAAAAAACAGACATAACATTCTTATTTAAATATAATGTTTTCTATGAATTAAATCATTTCAATTATTATATAGTTTAGTCAACTTAGTAATATGATTTACAAAAACAACATTACCAATGCTAGAAATAATTTTTATATCGGTATAGCTTCAATTAATAACATAAAATCATGAGAGGAGATGGTGCGCGAGATTTGATATTTTTATTATTGAACATTATTCATTTTCGCTTCTTTTTCCGCTTAGTTACAAAAATGTCAATAACTTTTGAAATATTGGTCCAAACGTTACTATGAATCAGTCATATTCTTAATCTGATGAGTTTAAGCTTCGATGTAAAGGTGAATAGGTATTAATATTACTATGATGTGTTTTTTTTATGTGTCTATTACCACTCAATATCAGCTTTCACTGAACCTATTTTGATGATCAATACGTTAAATTGTATCTAATCGAAGACATTAACTTCAAAAATTGAAAAAATTCCCTCATTCCTCGTAAATGGGGACAATTTCCCAAAAAATTACAATTTTAGAAATCGATAATTTTGGAAATTTTTTTCCATAGTAATATAAAAAAATAAAAACTCAGCACAGGGGGGTCGTGGCACTGTGATGACGTGGCATAGTTAGGTCAAGTATAATGATAACTGACAGTGATTAAAATCACTATCAAAAATAACGCTTCGATGCAAATCTTTAGATTGTGTTTAATTTTAAAAAATTGGTGGATTATTCCAAAAGCTACATGATCTGCTATTTCCTTATTAATATCATGATTAAGATAAAGTATATCGAATGAAAAAGAGATATAAATATAACCTGTGGGCAGGTAAAAGGTCAGATTAAAAAAGAAATATATCAAATAATAGGTAAAGACATCATGCATCTAAAAAAAGAAGTTATGTTGATTTGTTCATTTTTGAAAAAGTTATGGCAGTTTTAAGAAAAAAAAATTTCAAAAATTATCGATTTTTAAATTTGTAATTTTTTTTGGAGGTTTTCCCCCATTTACCGGGAACGAGGAAAATTTTTTCAATTGTTGAGGGTAATGTCTTCGACTAGATACGACTTTTGTTCGTTATCGTTGAAAGAAATCGATTGGGTGAGAGCTGAGAAAAAGTGGTAATAGGCAAAAAAAAAAAAAAATGCATAGTAAAACTAATACCTTCTCAGCTTCGCATCGAAGCTAAAATATGACGTACAATGGTTAAACAATTTATCATTTAATCAATAAAAAAATTAAAGCTCTTGTTACAAAAAAAAAAAAACGCAAAAAGCAATTGACTCACCGACTTACAATAAAATGTACACGGATGATACGGTGGCAATCGATTTGCCGTGCTGGGTTGGCAAGGGGATGAGTAAAGCAAAGACACTAGAAATCAGCTGTCACGCGATATCATATAATTAACGGTATTTGTGATAACTGGTCTACTTTGTCTTTGCTAAATACACGTTATCTACCAAACATTTTTGTAATTTTATAACATTTTTTAAAACTAATTTATTGTTATAAATGTTGATTTTAAGGGTTTTTATCTTATTTACAATATATTTTTTTTTCGTATTATTATGCTTTAATCAGACATTTTTAATAATTTTCTTATAAAATGTTTGGTAATAAAAGCCTAGAATGTGCTGAATATACATTTGAATATCACAAAATTATATTTAAATACATTAATTAGACCAATACCTTTTCAGCTACACATGGTAGCTATCACTTATATTTATTCGTAAATATTTTGATTGCATTGGGTGAATTTTTAAAAATAATTATACATTAAATAGTCAACTATTCAATATAGTTCATTAATTTTGTCGACATTTTGTTATGTAAAATTTTAGAAGGCTATTTCTGTCGGAGTTTGTAAAANTAGGGATCTCATGTTTGGGCAACACGTTACCAAGGTAGCTGAGAGAGCAATGAAGATGAGCACATCACTACTCAGGATAATGCCCAACTTAGGAGGACCGAAAGAAAGTAGGAGAAAGCTGTTTGTGGAGGTCCTTCATTCAGTGCTCCTATATGGCGCGCCAATTTGGGCGGACACATTAAGATACAAGAAGGCGAGCGTTGACACACTCAGGAAAGTGCAAAGGAGGATCCTGTTGGCTAAAGTGTGTGCTTACCGAACGGTTAGTGGCACTGCCACCAACATCCTAGCGGCAGTTCCACCTATAGATCTATTGGCAGAGGAGAGGAGAGATTTGCATGAATGGAGAGCCTCGGCGGTAGACATCAATACAGATTACAGGAGGGTGTTGAGACAGCGAACGATAGGAAAGTGGATGAGGCAAGTACAAGACTCCACAAAAGGGGAGTGGACTAAAAAATTACTTCACAACAATCTGGAGGAGTGGGTTACAAGGAGACACGGGGAGGTGGACTTCCACCTCACGCAATTGCTGTCCAACCATGGGTGTTTCTCCAGCTACTTATTCAAAATAAGAAGGCTGGAGACTAGCGNGTGCTGGGTTGGCAAGGGGATGAGTAAAGCAAAGACACTAGAAATCAGCTGTCACGCGATATCATATAATTAACGGTATTTGTGATAACTGGTCTACTTTGTCTTTGCTAAATACACGTTATCTACCAAACATTTTTGTAATTTTATAACATTTTTTAAAACTAATTTATTGTTATAAATGTTGATTTTAAGGGTTTTTATCTTATTTACAATATATTTTTTTTTCGTATTATTATGCTTTAATCAGACATTTTTAATAATTTTCTTATAAAATGTTTGGTAATAAAAGCCTAGAATGTGCTGAATATACATTTGAATATCACAAAATTATATTTAAATACATTAATTAGACCAATACCTTTTCAGCTACACATGGTAGCTATCACTTATATTTATTCGTAAATATTTTGATTGCATTGGGTGAATTTTTAAAAATAATTATACATTAAATAGTCAACTATTCAATATAGTTCATTAATTTTGTCGACATTTTGTTATGTAAAATTTTAGAAGGCTATTTCTGTCGGAGTTTGTAAAAAATACTTTTTCAAAATAATGGAGTTAATATTTGTTATTTTTGAAGTCACTTTTGACAGATTTTGCACACAGACATAAGAACTATCATCATAATAATTCGAAAAAATTTTCTCAAACTTTGTAAACCAACTAAATGTTTCATAGTAAAACTAATACTTTCTCAGCTTCGCAGCGATGCTAAAAATTGAAAAAATATCGAAAATTAGCAATTGTTAAAATTGTGACTGTGAAACCGTTGTTTAAATTGCAATTATGTTCAATTGTCATTTATTATTATAGAATCACCACAAAATTTTAATTAAATTAAAATATTTGTTTTCATTTGGAAAAAACAAAGTTGACGTCCTTAAAAAGTATAAAAGATGATTTTTAAAAGTATTACATAGGTTTATAATTCATATACATAGATTATTTGTGAAAAGTATACAATTAAAAGTAACCGAAGAAAGTTTAAATATTCTTTTTAATTAGCGAAAATTGGGTAATAATAAAAAAATTGCCTTGTATATACACTTTTATTCTCTTTATAATTGTTTTCCATTTCCAATATTTTTGAGAAAGGAATAAAAAAAAAATAATTGTTTATTTCCAATAAAATATCTGTAAATTTTTATTTTTCATAAGAAAATATAAAATATTTTAAAGCTCTTAAAAATTACTATCTAACAAAGTTTTATTTTGTTTCCAACACAATTCTCGTTTTGGAACAATTTGAAATATGTAAAAACATGTATTTATTTGGTTTAACGTTTTACGAGATCAAAGGAATTGCAAATTTTTGAGCAGCAGTGTACATATAGGGTATGCTTTTAAAGCATTAATCAAAAAATGTATTTTAAAATTCCTGACATTTACATTCGATTATATTGAAACAGTTTATAAAGTATTTTACTTCATAATATAATTTTTTTTGAGTAAACTATTATTTAAAAATCATAAATATTGATGTCTGAAAAATATCCTTAATGGATTAATAAGGAAAATTATTATTGTCTTCAAATGAAAATTAAATTAATATATTGTTTAACTGTTTGAAAAGGATCAGTTAGATTTAATAGTACCATGAAAACGTAATTTCAATAATACATCGAACACAAAAAAATTACGTTTCCCATTTTATATTATCCCAGAATTTCGAATGGGCTAACTAACATTTTTTTTAATAGAAACTCTAGTTTATTATATATTGTTGCATCTAATGTTATCTTTACAAAAATAAATAAAAAACGTAATTATATATTTTTGTATGTCACATATCATACCCGTAGCGTTCTCTCCCTTGTCCTCCTTTAATCCGCACTGAAATAATTGTTCGTGTTACAACTTACTCCGTATCCATGGTAAAATGTAACATAAAAAAAAACAACATAGAATAAATGTTTTTTTTAGCTTCGATGCGAAGCAGAAAAGGTATTAATTTTACTATGATGTGTTTTTTTTTTTTTTATGTCTGTTGTCACTTTATCTCAGCTCTCACTGGACCGATTTCTTTCAAAAATACGTCAAAAGATCACAAATCGTATCTAGTTGAAGACATTACCCTTAAAAATTGAAAAAAATTCCCTCGTTCCCCGCAAATGGGGGAAATATCCAAAAAAATTACAAATTTAAAAATCGCTAATTTTCGTAATTTTTTCACTTTTTTTTCTTAAAACTTCCATAACTTTTTGACAAATCAACAAATCAACATAATTTTNCAAATTTAAAAATCGCTAATTTTCGAAATTTTTTCACTTTTTTTTCTTAAAACTTCCATAACTTATTGAAAAATCAACAAATCTACATAATTTATTTTTATACTAAGACCTTAGATATTTCCCTTTCATTTGATATCATTTTTTTGAAAATCTATCACTTAACCTGCTCATTGGGGGGGATTTAAAATAGCAACTTTTTTACAAAAATAACTTTTTCAACTTAATTTTTGAAAATGTTCCGGAAATACTGCGTCCTTCAAACATAAATCAAATTAAAGCTTTTTTTATGTAATAAAAAATGAAAAAAAAAATTTGTCCTGACACTTTTTCTTCTACATTTAAACGGCTGCCGTAGTAAAAAAAACACTATTTTTGTGTTAAAATTTTCGATTTTAAATTTTCAACTTAAAAATGCTATAACTTTTTGAAAAATGTATATATCAGCACAAATTTTTTTTTTCTAAATACATTATAAGTACATCTTTCATTTGACATACTTTTTATTAAAATTGGACAATTTCCCCTTATATAGGGGGCGTTCAAAACTTAAAATATTGTAAAAAACATAGATCTTCTTCAACTGAACTTTTGAAAATGTTCCGGAAATACTGCGTCCTTTAAACATATATCAAATCAAAGGTTATGTGATATACTATCAAATGAAAAAAATTGTCCAGACATCTTATCTTCTATGTGCAAAGTGCTGTCGAAATTTAAAAAAAAATGTAATACTTGGGATAAATATCACCTTCTATAAGGATGTATTTTGTACTTAAAACTGCCATAACTTTTTCAAAAATGAACAAATAAAAATAATATTTTTTTGTATTGAAACCTTAGATATTTCCCTTTCATTTGATATAATTTTTTTTGAAAATCTAACACTTATTCTGCTCACTGGGAGGATTTAAAATAGTAACTTTTTTACAAAAAATAACTTTTTCAACTTAATTTTTGAAAATGTTCCGGAAATACTGCGTCCTTTAAACATATATCAAATTAAAGCTTATTTTATGTACTACAAAATGAAAAAAAAAAATTTGTCCCGACACTTTTTTTTCTACATTTAAACGGCTGCCGTAGTTAAAAAAACACTATTTTTGTGTTAAAATTTTCGATTTTCGATTTTAAATTTTCAACTTAAAAATGCTATAACTTTTTGAAAAATGTATATATCAGCACAAATTTTTTTTTTCTAAATACATTATAAGTACATCTTTCATTTGACATACTTTTTATTAAAATTGGACAATTTCCCCTTATATAGGGGGCGTTCAAAACTTAAAATATTGTAAAAAACATAGATCTTTTTCAACTGAACTTTTGAAAATGTTCCGGAAATACTGCGTCCTTTAAACATATATCAAATCAAAGGTTATGTTATATACTATCAAATGAAAAAAAAAAATTTGTCCCGACATCTTATCTTCTATGTGCAAATGGCTGTCGAAAATTTAAAAAAAAATGTAATGTTTGCGATAAAAATTACATTTTATCGGGATGTTTTTTGTACTTAAAACTGCCATAACTTTTTCAAAAATGAACAAATAAAAATAATATTTTTTTGTATAGAAACCTTAGATATTTCCCTTTCATTTGATATAATTTTTTTTGAAAATCTAACGCTTATTCTGCTCACTGGGGGGATTTAAAATAGTAACTTTTTTATAAAAACGGACTTTTTCAACTTAATTTTTGAAAATGTTCCGGAAATACTGCGACCTTTAAACATATATAAAATTAAAGCATATTTTATGTAATATAAAATGAAAAAAAAAAAATTTGTCCCGACGACCTATCTTCTATGCGCAAATGGCTACCATATTCAAAAATATGCTATTTTAACAAATTTTTTTTTTTAATTAAACACTATCTACAGATTTGCATCGAAGCGTTTTTTATGATAGTGATTTTAATCACTGTCAGATATCATCTATACTGGACCAACTATGCCACGACCCCACTGTGCCGCCACCTCACTGTGCTGGGTTTTTTTTAATTATGCGATTATTTTTACGAGTTTAAAATATATATTATGAAAGAAAACCACATTATCTATCTATTGTTATAAAAAAAATTTCATAAATATTTAATGAGGTATTGCTACAAATGTAAAGAGTGTTGCAAATGAACACGGTTTCCCTTATACAACCATAATATTTACGGAATCACAAACTTTTGTAGCTTACAAAAGTTAATAAATTAAATTACATAAATATTTTTGTTATCAAAGCCCACTCTATTCATGCATCAAATTAGTTGTCAAGTAATGGTTCAGTTGTAACACTTTTATGCTGGTATCAATATCTTTACTTTAAACTGAATCATTACTAATCGCCATAATAACGTCATGATCGTTAGCGAATTTCTTATGTTACGTTGCACAAAAACCGTTAAGGATGACCTAAATATATATGAATATGTTGCTTATCACAAAATAACAATAAACATATCTTAAGAAGATATTTCTTATAAATAACAATTTCAGCTACACATCGAAGAAAAAATTTAACTCAATTAATAATATGTTGATATTTTAATGAAATTACTACAAGGTTGTTAGTTTTATTTATTTTTTTTGTTTCGAGTATTTTAATTAAAACTAATTAATTTTTATTAGAAGAAAAAAGAAAAAGAAGAAGAAACTTATTCTTTAATTATGGTATGTAAAAGTTAATATGTTTTTTTAAAAATTTCCTATCAAAAATATTTACAGGCATATGATATAAAAATTATAATAAGTTTTTTTTATTCCAGGATTTACTTGATCGTATTGATGATAATTGTAATTCTAAATGATTAAATTACATTAAAAAAATAATAATGATAGATTTTATTTTATATAAATAAACCATATTAGTTATATTAATTAAAATGATAAAATACTTGTTAACAGTTAAGTTAGAAGTAAAAAAAAGTGTATCTCATAAAAATAGTTTTTTTATTTCACTGATGGTGTCAAGTTGACGTTATTACCATTTATCAAATTGTTCAAGTATTAAAACAAAAATTTTAAGAAAATTTAGTTTTATATAAATCTTTTTAATGATGGAAATTAATTTCTCTCCGGTTGTGAAAATTGATAGGGGAAAATGAAAAAAGTTTTTAAATGCGACAAAGGGAAGGACGGTGTGGAATGTCAAGGAAGTCATAAATGATGTGCGTAATAGATTTGCTAGTTGTGTAGAGAATACTGCAAAGGAGATTGTTGGTGAGAGTAGAAGTAGAAATCCAAAAAACAAAAAAAATCTGGTGATGGGATAAGAACGTTAAAAAAATCATAGAGGGTAAGAAAAAACAGTTCAAAGTATAGCAGAAGAGTAAATGGAGAGAAGATTTGATGGTGTATAAACGCTTGTGCAAAGAAGCCAAGTGTGCAGTATATTAGGCGAAATTTAAGAGGTATGGTGAGTTGACTGATGGGCTAGCAACAAAGGAGGGTGAAATAGAAGTATTTAGACTTGCAAAAGTAAGGGATAAGCGATCTACAGATTATTACCACGTAAGGAGTATAAAAGTGGTTATAAAAGGGCGCTAACGAGCGATGATGATGTGAAAAAAATTTGTGAAAAGAGTATTTTGATAAAATACTGAATGAGGAGTATCCAAGAGAGACATTAGAAGATATTTTGTGGAACAAAGGAATGGTAGATTTAATTAATGAGAAAGAAGTATGAGAGGCTGTGACATCAAAGAAAAATAATAAAGCAATAGGACTAGATAAAGTGCCAAAACAAAAGAAAGAAGAAGATATAACTTTAATTATTTTGTTATTATTATAAATTATTATACTATATTTCAACTATTTTATAAAAATTAGAGAAGTTTATATAAAACTAAAATTTCTTAAAATTAATTATTCCACAGGGGATTTAGTTATGTTTACATGGATATTTTCTAATGGCTATAAAGCAATAAAATAGGATTATACAATAAAGAGAAAAAAAAAATTAAAAAAAAAAAAGTTTAACATGGGTTAAAATAAAAACAATATTGCCCGAGTTAAAACTATACTTTAAATAAAAGAATAAAATAATATAAATTTATATTATTTGAATATAATACGTAAATACCTTTCAATATAAGAAGAAGACGTACGATATCAGAAACGAGTAATAAACAAAAAGGAAGGGGATGGCGTTGAGTTGGTGTAAACAAAATTTATAAGGAGGTTGGTTTGGTGTAAAGAAAAGTAAGAATGGCTTGAAGTACCGAGCAGGGATAATAATAAAATGGAAGTAAAAGGGAATCTTGGGGTATCTATGCCTACAAAAGAATGTCTTATACAGGGTGTTCAGTGAGTAAGGAAACAGGTTAATTGTTACAAACAATGAGAACAATAGAAACCCGTTTCCTGACTTACTGAACATTCTGTATATTTGAATAATGATGAAATATCAACAAAAGGTTACTATTTAATTCTTCCACAAAAATGTATACATGAATTTAATGAGTCGTGAGTATTGTCTTTTTTTTATAAAGACATTTTTGTCAGTTTATTTCTGACGACCTACTTCACTAATTGTTTATTACTAAAAATCCTGATAAGACAAATATTCTGTTGTGATGAATCATGTAGTTGATGTTACTATCAACGATGTGTTTGTATATGCGTCTGTATACGCATTTGAAGTTACATTATTTTTATATTATTAAATTAACTCGTGTGTAACTATTTTTTCCCAGCGACTCAAAAATGTAATATAAAATGGCGTAGATTTGTTATAGAATTGTAACTAAGAGCGAACTATATACTGACACAGATTCCATGTGTATGAACAAGAAAACCCGTAAAACTGGTTTAGCGATCTCTGGTGAGATTTGTAAGATATTCTTTATTGTATTTGATTGATCAATGTGATAAAATCTTTTACGTAGTTGTTTTATAGAATGCGTAAGAAGGTAGTTGATTTTTATGTATGAGTATTATTTTTTTATTCACCTTATCCATGGGGAACACTAATTTGGTGATATATTTTTCTTAAGTATATGTATTATTTATTACATGTATTAAAAAGTGATACTACAAACGAGAGGGAACGTTCACCACGTTTTCAGGAAGCGTGTTATTGTCAATATAACCTGAGGAATGACATAATTGTCCGGAAAGACAAATTATAATAGGGTAGTGATCACTACCTGAGGATCACACAAAACAGATCAGGAAGAGGATAATAAAATATTTAAAGAGCAGATAGATAGGTCAGCAGCGGTATCTGCAAAATGGGGACAGTTAATTCTGGTAGGTACACCTGTATTAAGTATGCAGTAGTTATGTTGGGTTATAGTTAAAAGGATAATATTACCTCTAAAATTAGAATTTAATGACCCCCATGCAGGATGGTGGCCATTAAGATCACCTGCAATTAATGAGTTATTAGAAAGCAATCTAAAAATTTCGGATAAAATAAAGGTAGAGGGGTTAGCTGACGGAGAGATATAAATGGACCATAATCGGAGAGATTATTAGGTACCAGTACATCAATACCCACTAGATCATTAGAGAAAGAGATAAGTATTTGTTTAAAGTTATCATCGAGTGTAATAGGTCAAAATTATATAGAAGAATGGACTAAAATGGCAACTTCACCGTAACCATATGACCGATCAGAACGAATTGAATGGAAATTAGGAAATACAAAGTGATTATTAGGTAGTAACCAAATTTCGGAAAGAAGGGCAACTTGGCATTTGTTTTGGGAGACGAGGAAAGAAAAATCTTGAGCCCTAGATAGTAAACTTTTAATATTCCATTGTAAAATATTTAACATCTAAAAATAATAATAATAAAAACAAAGGAAAAAAAGTAAGAGATTATATAAAACTATTGACCTATGTAACGTATAGTGCTTTTACAAACGATAATGCTTTTACAAAATTATTATTTCTGGATGAACACGAAAAATTACTACACGCCGGTCCACAAGCGATGTTAGCTAATATACGTTTGAGATATTGGCCGATTAATGAACGTAATATAGTCAGAAATATATTTCAAAAATGTGTCAAATGTTTCAAGTACAAACCTGTTGTATTTGAGCCTATCATGGGTGACTTACCTAAAGACCGAGTCGAATCAGCGCGAGCCTTTATTAAATGTAGCGTAGATTTTGCTGGTCCAGTGTTCGTACGGTCTAGTTTGCGAAGAAACGCGCCTAAGACTAAATCGTATATCAGTATTTGGGTTTGTCTTGTCACAAAAGCTATTCATATATAGGCAATTTGACAGCGGAGTCTTTCCTTAATGCGTTACGGAGATTCTGTGATAGACGTCGTTATTGTACGGATGTGTATTCAGATAACGGAAAAAACTTTGTTGCGGTTAATCGACAACTTCGAGAAGTGCATGAACTTTTAGCTTAACCAGAAGTTAAAAATGAATTAAGTAATAAAGGGATTTAATGGCATTTTATTCCGGGCCGTAGTCCTCACTTTGGCGGATTGTTGGAGACGTCTGTTTCCAGGCACATTTGCTCAAATCGATTGGTAATGCTCTGTTTAACTATGAAGAGTTATAAACAATACTTGTTCGAGTAGAAGCTATATTAAATTCGCGACCGTTGACACCATTATCCACGAATCCAAGTGTCTTATCGGTTTTAACACCTGGTCATTTTTTGATAGGTGACTCGCTATCCTCTTTTCCTGAACGTGACGTTACGAATATTATGGAGAACAGACTAACTCGCTGGAGGCATGTTGTTCAAATTACGCAAAAATATGGATTAGATGGAAGAACGAGTATCTCAATCAGTTACAAGAGTGAAAAAAATGGTCACAATCAAATGGTCCTGGTTTGGATAAAAACACTGTAGTTCTCATGCGTGATAAAATCTTGTCTCCTTTAAAATGGTCAATTGGAAGAATAATGGAAGTTTATAGTGGTTCTGACGGTGTCGTACGAGTGGCTACTATTCGTACAGCAACCGGTGTATACAAATGAGCTGTTCGTCAATTATGTCCATTACCTTTTGAGGGAAATTGTACAGCAAGTTCAAATAATTAAAAATATTTAAAATGTATGTTTAGTAAATTATGTTAAAATGCTTATGATCTGAAAAAAAAAATAACAATAATATCTAGTCTAAATATTGTGATATAAATTCTTGTTGGTTTTTTATGTATGTAATGTATTATATAAATAATAATTATTATTATTTGTATTTCTATTATAAAATATGTTCATTGTTAAAGTGTTCTGCAGCTAATGTTTGTTGCTAAATGTAGTTACCTTAATTTTTATTATTTATTTATATATTAATTTAATTATTTGTAATTTATTTAAAGTGTGATGTGTTAGTTCTAAGTTATAATTATTTGTTATTTATCTGAGATTGTTTTACAGAATTATTGTTTATATTTTTGACCGTGAATGTGGGTCAATTGTTTGTCATAATCTTGACACGGTACCGTATATATTGCGATACGTGAAATACACGGTCACCTCGTCTTTTCCATCAGCCGCCTTATTACATCGCGAGCCCAGCCTGATTAGAGTACCCCCGCTATCTAGTCAGGGTGCAAAGTCGATCTACTGGAGCGCGGTCGACCACCGAGCGCCGGCGTTGAACGCTCTATCTTGTTTTTGACGTCCTACGTGAATTTTATCTATCCGCCTTCGTCACGTGTCGTACATTCAAGTTACTGTTACACATCTCAAATTAAAATCTTAATTTGTATTATTTCTTAATTTAAATCGTAATATATACATAAACATATATATATATATTGGTTTATTTAAATTTCTCTGTTTCTCTTGCTCTCGGCCAGCGCCGTTGTAGTACCATTTTAGACATTTTGTGTTACTTATATTATAGTTAAAAAAGAAACTTTGTTGACACTCGAAATACCTGTGTCAATCTTATTATTTATATGTACTTTATATTGATTCAATTGAAATGTGATATTTTAATGGCGATTAAGCGATAGCAAT